AGTTGACGGCCGTTAATACCCAGGGTTGCCTTCTTCTGGTCAGGTATGCAGCTTGAGAACAACTTCGTCCTCCCGGTATTTATGGACGAGCCAACCGACGCAGCGATCTCATTCACCCGTGACACTACAGACTGTAGATCGCCAAAGCTCAAAGCTACTAAAGCGATATCATCGGCATAGTCGAGACCCGTCAGCCGGCGTCAAGGTACAAGCTCAACACACAGGGCCTTCCAAAGAATTTAATCAGTGACGTAGGTGAATAGAAGGGTCGACAGGGCAAAGCATTTTCCGACATCACACCGGATATTGAACAGCTGTATCAGAACTTGTGCGACTATGATTCTGGTCAGTATTCCGATGCAGTTCTCACACGCTGCCCGTTTGGCTACTCCAGGGAAGACATTCGTCCTCACCTTCTGAAACAAAACTATCTTCAGGTTCCAACAACGAGTGCAACGAAAAGCAGAAAACACCCCTTTTCTCTGCAGATATCTTATATCCTTGGATTATGCGAGAATGTACTTGATGAGTAAGGTGCTCTTTATCCCTGGGGCTGCCTCTACGACGAAAGGAGCTATTTCCAGGTAGAGGCTGAAGCAACACATGCATGAACGGGATTTTAGGTTGCCACGCGATCTAAGTGAAGCAGGCGCCCATAAGGGCCGAGCGCGAAGAACTGGTGTCACCAGGCGTACTGATCCTACACAAATCCGAACAAGAGAGCCTTCGGATCCATCTACATTGTCTCCCGTTATTGCATGGTAAGTACCTTGTCTGGGCAATAATTGAATGGCTAGACATTAAAAAAGTGAGAAGGAGGTACCGTATTGGCCGTGACACGGAGCCGCGACTTTAGGGACTCACAGTCACCATCACTATCCCGATTCAAAAAAACCTTACTGTCTCGTAACCAGCCGAATACTATCAACCCCCAACCCCCCCTTCCCTATTACCATGCATAATTTGCCTGTAAGGATAAACATAATTTCCCGCATGTTACCTTTCACCTCCTTACCATATAAATGTAATGGCCCTAGGAGGATTTATCGCAAGCTACGTATGCTCGCCAGATACCCTTCCGAATTCTCTGATGGTAATTTATGCAACTCCTTAAAATTTTTCGAAATGAACTAGGTGCAATCGACCAGCAAAAACTGCTACGAGCTTGCAGTTTAACCTTAGATTTTGGTTTCATCTTGCATCAGTTAGGGTGAGATTTCTGTTTCGAGATTCTCGTCCATGACAAAGTCATTACCCTTTTCGAGATATCTAGTACGTACAGAGCCTCACGGGCCTTGCCACCTTCCAGGTTCTGGCTGATTGGTCGAAAGTTGGGATGGCAACATTTTGGAAGTAGCCCTGGGCGAATACTTTGAGTCAGTATGCAGGAGACCAACCAACCCAACCAAGCAGTCAGTTAATAGAAACCAACCAAAAAGGCGATGGAGCATCAATTAGAATATCACATCTGCAATGTACAGGAGGCATTTCGTATAAAGTCTACCAGTGCGATAGATCGAGTTATCTGGCTGAAGAGCATAGTTTGAGATGAGCGTTTGGCCCTCAGAGCCTCCTCCACAAGCTCAAAAGCCAGGTTTTCTGTAACAGGCTCCGGCTGGTTGGATATCGTCTCCCGGACAACGGCCTGATCAAAGTCGGCGGATTTGGCTGTGGAGAGGAAGGCAGAAGGTCGGGCAATCACCTCGCCATGCCGACGAAGAACAGCCTCCAGGCAGGCCGTCGCGAAGTCCACGTCCAGATTGCGCTTGAATCTAGTTCGTGTAACGCAACAAATTAATTTTTACTACTAACTCCGTTTTAGTAGACAGTATATTAAAGTTATTATTACAACGTCTCTCACCTATTGACGAGCAGCGCCAGGAAGGAACAGAGGCGTCTCAGGGGACCCTCTTTGTCGACAAAGTCAATGGCTGAAGTTGCAGCAGCGAGTTCATCGGGCGCAGGTGCTAACAGCCGGATCTCCATATCGAGAGAACTTGGATTTAGGGCCTTCAAGCGGGCAACGGTTTCGTCGCCTAAAATGACAGAGGATGCAGAGAGTTAACGCAGTACTTACCTGATAAATTTAGTTGACTCAATTGTGAAAAAACTCGCGGTTTCGGCTGGAGTCGAACCCGCACAGTAGCGGAGACTGTTTCGCAGCCAATGCTCTACCGATTCAATCACGAGGCACGCCGTGAATTTAATCACGCTTGGATCGATTTTACCCGCCCAACTTACTGTTCGTATGGAATCCACCATTGCTGAACAGCGGGCGGAATTTCCTAAACAGTCACCTAGAATCCACCGGAACGACTACCAGGCTGAATTAATTGTCGGGGAGAGGGGGAGGGGTTGGTAGATTTGCTTAATTTAAGAAATCCTGCTTACCTGATAAAATCGAAGGAGTTGTTCACGGTGTTTTGTGTCGTGATGTTAAGCTCTATAACGCGGAATTATCGGGGTCAAAAGTCCCTACTGCAAATTAGCATCGATGTCAACGCTCTGGAGACGGCTACACTACCAACGTCCCAGTCAACCACTCGTAGTTACTTCATTGGCACGCCTCAAACCTACCGACTAAAAATCAACCTTTGCAGGATGTAATCTGAAGATTTGCCCTCACAGTACGTACCTTCTCTACCATCTGAATGGGAATCGCACTAAACTTGTACATCATCCCTCCATCCCAAGAAAATCCAGCTTTGACGACTGGGAGACTGATACGAAAGTTCGATTGTTGTTACCAACATGGTGACAAAAATGACGCTCAGGCTCAAATAAAGTGTGAATCCAACCCCAAATCGGCATGTAAACGTCCTTTGGTCCTAACGACCGCCAGTAGCTCTATGGTTTCGCAGAGGTGGCACTGGTTCCTACCCATCTGGTTTTAGGAAGACTACTTTTCGCCTGGATTTTTAAGGAAGGACGGACATTTTAGGACCGATTATGAAATCTATTCATGTTGAGCTTAAAACATCGAGGTTTCTTGTTGGAGAACAAAACATACTTCGTAGCTAATAGCCATTACAGCCTGACTCTCAGCCCGCCAGTCAGTCGATCCACAGAACAAGACGCACACGCTGGATCGACTGCGGTATCCAAGTTATCCCGTCAGTTGGCAGCTTTCTGAGCTGCGGCTTTCAGCACACCGCGATAGTTTCAAGCTCACCAGATATGTTTTTAGTGAGGAAAGAAAATGATAAGGGAAGGCCTTTTTTATTTGTTCAGATGGAGATTTATAATTTGGCATTCAGTCTAGGAGAACCATTTACTTATACGCATTGAGGTCTTTATTTGAGATAAGCCTCCGAAGTCAGCACAGCCAGTGCTCGGATGTAGGAAGGGCGTCCCCCGAGAAAAGACAGCCCTGCCCTGTGAAACCACCCCGGAAAGCTAAAGCGATGTGTGTGTGTGTGTCAATTCAGCCCAGCTAGGTAGGCTGCCGCATGCGAGGGAGTGCCATAAAGGCCACGTTAAGAAGGCTCCATTGCCAACTGACACTCAGCCACTCCACACAACAAGGCACACACTGAGCTGACTGCGGTGGCCGAGTTATCCCAGCACTTGGCAGGCCTCTGAGCCGCAGCTTTTAGTGCACCGTGATAGCTTCGAGCTTGTCAGACGAAGTATAGTGTGGAAAGAAATGAGCTGAGGATCAATCCCACTGACTTCCCCACCGCCAACAAGAAGCCACCACCTTAGGTAGGATGAACGCAGTGGCTGACAGTACCGGCGAAGCCGTCTACGCGCGCC